CATTTTCACAGCAATATCTGTTATGTTCTGCGGGTGCCAGGGGGACACATATTGCTGTCATTTCCCCTCGTTGTGTTTGGATATCAGATGCAAAGAGCAGCAATGAGCACACAGCTATCACCATTCCTCACACTGAGCAGTCCCTTCGGTGGCCTGGTCCATCTGGTGCTCAGCTCCAGTGGCAACCGAGGAGCTTTAGGGCATCTTGTCCCATGGGAAAAGGGGTCCCTGGCCTGGTGGGTCTCTCCCCTACGCTAGAGAGGTGGGCAAAGAGGGTTCCCCATCCAAACAAGGGCTAGGCAGAGAAATGGGGTGTATTTCCCCAGCACACACATGCCACCATGTGTCACACGCTCACTGACGTGGCTCTGTGCTCACCGCTGTCTCATCCCCACCACAGCCCCATGCTGCCTCACTGAGAATTACCCACACCAGAAGACAAATGTTTTTCCCCCAAATTAGTCAAAACCACCAAGTTTCTCTTCCAGCAGCTGCCACCACCCTGCTTGAGGTGTACAACCTGCTTGGCATGGGAGCGCTCACCTTTAGCTGCCCACCTCACCAGGGTACCACAGATGCTGGTGCTGAATGGGCTGAGCACCTTCTGCTAGGTCCCTCCAGGACAGAGCTGTCAGTCTCCAGGAGAAGGTCCCTCAGCATCAATGGAGCCTGGCAACGTGGGGTGATTTGTGACAAGGCCTCCCACATGTGCCAACCATCTCCTGAGGTTCCTGTGACTGAAGTGCATGTGGGAATGGAGTCACCACCACACGGCACAGGCAGCAGCACCTTCTCCTTGTGTTTCCCTCTTTGTTTGGCACTATCTCCACTGAGCGATGCCCACAGCCTGCTGCCAGCTCACAGAGTTTCAGCTGTGGTAGCTCTGTGGTAGTGCTGCCTTCTCCATTTCTCCACTGCTGTGCTTTAATAGGTTGAGTTTGGACACTTACAGCAGGCACAAAACATCACCAGCTTATTTACAATTGAAGAGTGTTTTCTCAATGGAGGTCCAAGCCAAAACACCACCCCAAGGACTCTCACCACCATGAACAAACCCTGGGAAAGCTTGAGAAGGGATGCAGTTCAGCCCAACATTCATCTCCTTTGCTTTGCTGTTGTTCCTTCCTCTCCTATGTATAGCTCCTTCCTAAGCCCCAGATTTTATGAAGATGCTTCATTTTTAGCCTTGTGCTGCAAATATTAAAACAACTGGGTTTGCTTTAAGGACATGGCATTAGCCTGGGTGCATGTAACCCAACAGGCTGGAATGGCTTAAGGGAGGATGTGAGCATTTTGGGATGCCTGGACCCCCTCCATGTCACCCTTAAGTTGGTTAGCTGGGTACCCAACCTGCAGCATCCAGCCAGCATCTCCTCAGGATAATACAGGTGGATTTGCCAGGATCTCATAGGAAAGTGTGATAAAACCGTGGTGAGAGCAGTGACATCCATCACCTACACTGCAGCAGCCACCACTTCACCCTTGAGAGGAAGCTTTTGAAACAGAGATTATCTCTACATAACTCCACCTTCACATCACCCCATACCCACAGCCTGAAAACCACCGATGACAGCAAAGTCACCCCAGTGTGACCATGTTGCTGTGACATCCCCTTAGATGCATGCTTCCACATACACAGATGCACGACAGGGCTGGCAAACCCTGCCTCGATGCTGTTCTCTGCTTACCAGCAGCGAAGCTATTAAGCCCCCTTTGCAGCCCCATATGCATTCACTTCATGCCTTGCATTCCTGACAGCCCTAGTAAATTCTTGCTGAAAAGAGAATAAAACCCTTGTTTTCCCTCCCCTCTGAGCTCCTGCTTCTTGTTCAATGCCATTAAAAGCAGAACCCACACTAACATCAGTCCTTGCTGAAGGTTGAAACCACCTTGCCTGTACTCCTCGTGTGGCACTGGAGGGAAGAGAAGGAAAAGAAAGCGAGCAGAAAACCAGACACTTCCTTCCACTCCTCTGTCAGCTCCACTTTGCATCAAAATCTCCTTTGTATGTCACACAGTTATTAAAGTTGTAGATGGTGGCTCTGTGCAGTGTGGCTGTGCCTGTGTCTTAGAAACTGGGTCACCCGGAGAGCGCTCCCTGAAAACTGTGCCCTGATAAATCCATGCTGGCAAGACTCAAAGATACCCCTTATAATGTTTTCTTGCCTCCCCTTGTGCTTTGAAAGGAGCAAATAATGCTACTTTTTGTTGTGGGGTTTGTATCTTTTATTCAGCAGCTTCCCGAGGTAAATAACCTCTGGCAGGCAAATCTAAGGGGATGCTCCTATCTCACTTGCTGTCTGCTTACACTGAAATCATGATATCCTTTGCTTTCATGAGGCTCTTTATAAATATTCCCTATTTTTCCAAGTGGAGCTGTTATCAAGGAGGGCAAGCAACTCCCTAGATTTGGCTCAGGCTTCAGTTCCAGCTTCTTGCCATCCTTCTCTCCTCATCACAGCTGCAGGGATGCAGGAGAGGAACCTGTCCATTATGCAGGGTACCGCTATTGACATCAGAGCAGAGGCTGCTTTCCAGCCAGGGCACCCTCTAGCACACAGGCATCCTTATATTGCTATCAAGCCTCTAGATAACACAGCTCAGGCAGTTTCTGAATGAGGCTGAGGGGTGAATCCTGTCACCCACCTGCCCTCAATGGGGCAGCAAGAGGTGGGGGGAAACCAGCAGAGCATAGAACGGGGCTGGCCCAGCTCAGCAATGGGTAAGAAATGAGCCATGAGAGGGGCAAGCAGCAGGGAACTGAAACTTGCTGACTGTGCAGGACAGAAAGATCTGGGGCACAGTGTCAGAGAGGGTGAAGATGGGGGTTTTCTTATTAAAAACAGTTCTGTTTAATACTTGTGGTGTCAATGAAGGGATGGCAGAAGCACACACCTCAGCTTTGCTGCTAAGGCAGAATGGCAAAGTGAGTCCTGGGGGCCAAATATGGATTTTTCTTGTGCTACTGTCAGTGCATTTATGTCCCTTATATCATAGAATCCCAGACTGGTTTGTGCTGGAAAGGACCTTAAAGCTCATCCAGTTCCAACCCCTGCCACAGGCAGGGACACCTTCCACTAGAGCAGCTTGCTCCAAGCCCCTGTGTCCAACCTGGCCTTGAACGCTGCCAGGGATGGGGCAGCCACAGCTTCTCTGGGCAGCTCTTTAAGCGCATCTTAAGAGACTGTGAGCAGGACCAGTGATAGGAAAGGGGTTGGAAGGACCTGGCTCAGGCACACGTTTGCTGGCATGGGGAGAGCTGCGGAAAAGGATTTCAAAATCCCAATATAGGGAAATGGAGTTGAGGAACAGAAAGTGCAGCTTTCACCAGCTCTGATCTAGACTCCACCTACCTCTCGGTGCTTCACCCCAGTAAATCACAGTGTGCAGGCCGTGAGCCCCACTTTACCAACAGAGAAAACGAGGCAGGCAAAGACAACAGGCAGCATTTATCATCTGAGGGGGCTCAGTAGAAGCCAAAGGCAAGCAGGGATGGTAGCATCCCCTTCCCAGCACACTGCACTGCCTGGGAAACAGAGGGATTGCACCTTGGCGACAGAGGAGGGGGGACAGGATCCCACCAGATCCATCCCTGAGACTTAGCCCATGAGGGAGGAAGGGAGAGCAGCATTCAGGCATCACCTTGTGAATCCCAGAGCACGGGAGCATCCCAGTGTTCCCACATCAGGCAAGTTTGGGTTTGCTTTGGTTGTGTTAAACTGGGCCAGGCTGTAGGAAGAGGAGATGGGGAAACAGTCACCTCAAGCCTCCTCCGTGTCCTCTGCCTAATGTATTCAGCAGTGGGTTTAGGGGATCTCAGGAGAATGAGTTGTCAGAGCGTCAGAAGCAAGTGATGGCAGGGGAATTACTGCTAATCCTTCTTGTGGGATCCAACACTCGGAAGGATTTAAACACTGGCTCAAAAACGTTTGAAGACATAAAAAAGGACACCTTTCCCTTCTTTCATACATTTTGGGTTGGTCACTTGCTGCTGGCTGAGAAAGGAAAGAGGAACTTTGAGGAGAGGGAAAGGATGAGGATGGGGAGAAGAAAAGGAAAAGACTCGAGATTAGATCTGAAGGGAGCCTATCACCCTCTCTGGGGGTGTAAGCTGCAATTAAATCTCTTTTGCCTAACAATACCTTATTGTTATTTGCACAGTGCTCAAGATGTGGTGATAGGGGAGGAAGGAGCAGGCAGGAGACTGCTGTTCTCTTAATGCTGCAGTGTCTGAAACCCTCTGGCTGGAGGCAGCCCTAGAGCAAGGGGATGCTTTGCCTCAGCCCAGCGTCTGCCCCACCACCAGTCATGAATGGTCCTTTACCTTCACCCCTCTCCTCAATGGACCTCAGCTGTGGTTCAGCAAACCGTGCTGTTTTCATTCCTTTTCCTTGATTTCCAAGGCTCTTCCCAGAGCTGTCCTCATTTATGCAGTGTGTGCCTCTCAGGTCCAGGCTGGTGGATTATTGACTTTGCCCTCTCCATGCCCTTGAAGCTGAGGAAGGAGAGTGCTACAGGCAGATGGGCTCTTCTTCATGCTTTGCTGTCATTCGTCCCAATCCTCAGCCTGAGCCACGATGGCAAAGAACAACTTGTTAAGGAATTGCTTCTTTCCTACCAGGTTCAATTGCTCTCCGTCTCAGGCTGCTCATATTGATCGACTGCACCCACTCAAGGCGTTGTGTAAAAAGCACTTAATGAAGTTCATTCTGGGCATTCTTCAGTGGTTTTTCCTCCTGAAGTGCACGGATACAGCCTTTCAGAGGGTCATGGAGCTTGAATTTTGTAGCAGTTCTGCTTTTCATTAAGGCACAATAATGAAGAATCATGAGTTTTCCCACAAGAGCTGTGGTTTTAAATCTGGGTGGCTGAGAACATTCGTACATTCTGTATTTGCATTGGGAGGCTGGTCAGATTTAATAAATAGAGATTTCACATTGAAAAGAGAAACAACAGCAGAAGCCTGAACAAACACTGGTTTAAATGATGCAGTGGAGCAATAACATTTAGTTGAACCCCTTTTATTCCAACCCCTCTGAAATAGTACAAAAAAATCACTGTTTCCACACAAAGTGCCTGTTCCAAGATGCAAGCCCATGAGATACTAAAGCAGAAACCCTGCTATGACAATTTCTATTCCATTCGTTCGTTCTGCTACCTCATTAAATTACAGAAGCCACCTACAAAAGAGCGTTTCCCAAAGGACAAACACTCTTCCAGGAACGTTTCAACCTGCTCCTGTCAAGTAGCAGTTGGGCCAGAGAAACCAGCTGCTGCTTCTTGTTTTGTTGGGTTTTGAACTGACACTGGAAGCCTGTGCTGGTACTTGGGGAGGCCGAGGGAGCATCCAGGCTGCTGCAGCCAGGCAGATGCAGGCAGGCATCAATGCAACTGCCTTAATGTCTGTGTGTGAGGCCACAAATGCAACCATGCTAATGAGGGCTTGCTCCTTTCAGAGCCCTCCTTCCAAGCCGCATCTTGGTGATGATGCCAGCACATGGGGCATCACAATGACCTGGTGTGAGACTGATGCAAGACTGGAGCTTCAGCTGCACTGGCATTTTGCATGGGTTAAATTAAGCACAGAGTGAAATCAGGGCACATCCCCATTACAGATCATATGAAATAACCAGGGTGCAGCAGCCCTTTGGAGCTTCATCTCCATCTGATTTTATGACCTGGGTAAAACAGATGCTTGTTAACTGGGTAACTGGAATTAATAACTGGAAATAACTGGTTCAGCTATTTACATGAGAGATGAATGAATGCAGACCTGCATGGATGTTTGGGTGCCTGCTCATTTATTCATCCAAATGAGTAAATCGTATCAGAACTACCTGTTCACAGGGAGCATTTTCAAATAACAATGTACGCCAACATGGTTGGGACTTGAGACTGCTCAGAGTTTTCCTTTGGAATTTTACTTCTGTAATGAAGGCAAACAGGTATGTGTTTCTGAAATACAATGGTTTTCACGTTTATAGTATTTGGGAAAGCTGTTCTGAGTCTTCCAAAACCAAATCTGCTTTTTCTCTGCTGGATAAAAGGTGAAAATATACTTGTTCCCACAGGCTTTTCCCCCCTATACTCATAAACCAACATGTATGGAAGAGGGGCACTGCTGGGGTAATGGCCTCCTCCTCTGAGAGCGGGAGCATCACCCCATCTCTCCTCCTAAAGTTGCTTTTACTATTCAACAAACACTCTCTTTTTAAACAATACTGCCTTAAACCCTTATTATAATGCCCAGAGCCACTTGCAGGCTTTCTGAAAGTCATTATTATAATTGCAATCAAGAAGCATGGCACTCTGTGCTTTGTGCCACAAATACATAGACACTGAATTGTTTACCGAGGGAAACAGTGAGCTTCAATGCTGCTTAATTCAGGAGCAGGAACTTCCACCCTATTGAATTTTACCTCTTTTGTTTCCCAAATTAACTTGTAGCTGCTGAAACCCAGGCCAATGTTTGCCTTGTCCTCCATGCTCTCCTTTGGCCTCAATCCAGGGAATCTCAAGCTGTGCCCTGGTTTACTGCACCCCTTCCCCAGCACCAGCAGCCTCTGCCCCTGGGTGAGGAGGCAGGATGATGGTGACTCTGGCAAGATGCAGTGCTCAGGACCAGGAGCATCACTGCACCTTGGGAATTGCTACAACAGAGCTTAGCAGACGCAAACCAAACTCACTGTGAATGAATGCAGCACGGAGCTTAGTTTTATTAAAGCTTCATCTTATGGGTCACAAGAAACCTTAGAGAGGGCTGTGGGGTATTTGGTAGTGTTATCTGACACAGCACAGAGGGAACTGTGACTCAGATTTTGCCAGCACCAGCCCTGGAAGCAGTTCTTCCTCTACCTCAAACAGTGTCTGATGTTGATCTCACTCATCACTGGCATCCAGGGAGATGTTGCTGACTCGTCCTTTGAAAAGTGAGATGGATCAGGCCCTTCCTTCTGAATAAATATCAGATCTGATTCAGCACTCAATTGCTTCTGTTTTATCTCTGTGGAACATCATTGATTATAGAAGGATTTGCAAGTTTTAAACTAGAGTAATTCAGTGATTAATCCCAACCAAAGCCTTTTGTAAATAGAGAGCGATACTCCAGCACTATTCAATATTCCACACATCAATGGAGTGCTCTGTAATATGATTCAATGGCATTTAGACTTGCCTTCCCTTTATTCAGGGCAGTGCTGGGCTACATTTAGTTTAGCTAAGCCAGGCTTTTCTGCTCTATCTCTTCTCCCTGGGAAATGTCAGGCACATTCTCTGTGAAACAAAGGCAAACCTCTCCCATCTAGTGACTGTTCTGTTTAAGGCAGCAGCTCAGGGAAGGGCTGACTACACATGCTGAGATGCCCACCAGGACCACAGCAGAATGGGGAGGAAGAGGCACTCTCAGCCTCATGGCAGGGTCTGAACATACCTAAAGTCCATGGGCTTGAGGCTCCTACAGCTCCTTCCAACAGTGATTTAAAGCTGATTCAGAGAGTAGAAAAGCTTATTCTGGAACTGGCTGGCTGTAAACATCAACCCATTTTGCTCAGGCTCAATCTTGCTTATATAGGGCAGTCCCATGTAGTATATCCAGAACACTGGATGAGGAGAAGCAGTTGGAGCAAAGAAATACCTTGATTTTAAAGTTTTTCTACTCCTTCTTCTGGTCCACTGATTTTTGGTTCCCACAAGAAACCTCAAACCACTCTCTCAAATGCTGTATGATCTGAATATAAATTAGAGCTTCAGGTGATTGAAATATTTGGGGGTTTCAACATTTGGTTTTGGTCTAAAGAAAACTGAAATAAACCTGTTGGGGGAATTTTACCACCAAGAGTAACTTCCCCCCCACTGATGCCATAGCTGTTCAGCATCACTGAGGTAAGCTGGTGGGTGGCTGTAGGACATCCCATTTCCCTCTATGGGGGTTTTCCCCTGGGTCATGGTGCCAAAGGACGCAGACCCAAGGCTTTCAGGATTCAAACCTTGTTTCTGTTTCCCACCACTTTAAGAGCCAAGCATCCTGAACCTTTGCTCTCCCCTGAGATCCTAAGCAACAGATCCTGAAGTTCCACTGAGTAAATGGCCCCAGGCCCCAAACCCAGTTTCAGAGACAGACAAATAACAGTAAGAGCAGTCCATCCATTCACCAACACATCAGACCTGCATGGATTGCTGGACCACCTTTGGCTGACATTCATGGAGCTCAGGCATGTGCAGCTCTTCCAACTCTTGTCACTCCTTAGCTTCCAAGTTCCCTTGAGAAAGGGTGACCAGCACAGCAGGTATTTCTGTAGTGCTTCCACAGTGCCTCCATTCTCTTGCTCTGACTGAACAGCCACAGAAGAACCATCTTCTGAGCCATCAGCCAAGGCCATGATGGGAAACAGGAGAGAAGTGATCTCCCTTTCTCTTCACATGAGCTTTACCTGCTCGTGATTCCAGTTTTTGCCTTCTAGCAGGGCTCCTGTCAGCTGCCTCCAGAAGATGTGCTTGCTTATCTCCTTGTTTTTCCACTCCAGATAAGTGTTCCTTCTTAGGTATCGGGAAAGCCCCAGCCTCTGCCTTAGCAAGGCCTTATTCACTTCTTCTAGTACAATCATGATGATCCCAGCCTTTCCTTCAACCAGCTGCCAGGACTGGGCAATGTCAAATTCAAAGCTACACCATTTACTTTCCAGGAAGTCGGTGGAGATGACTGCAATAACATTTCTGCTACTCAGGAAACCTTCCTGGATGATATTGGTGACGATGGGAACCCCTGGTAGGAAATCCCTGTAGTAAAGACAAAGATGGAAGGGAGGTGTTCCTTCTTCCAAGGGTTCCACCAGCTCTTTCATCACCCATTCTTGGTCTTTGCTGGAGTGGATGACAAATGCATCATAGGTGTCACCTCTTTCTGCAGAGTGCTTACACCCACTGAGCAGCACCAATGAGTAGTAGAGCTGGAAGTAGTACTTGTAAATCAGGAAGAGGAACACCACTGCAGCGAGCAACATGGTCACTGAGGATGCCACTGTGCCTACATGGAGCTGGCAGGAGGACAAATCAAAGCTTGGCAAGGTCACATTCTTCACGTATGCAGGTGTATGGCATATCATGGACTCCTTGTTCTGCAGCAGATCCTGCTTTTCCTTGATCCATTTCAGGAAGTTCTCATACACACAAGAGCAATCAAAGAGGTTTTGAGAGATGTCCAACAGGACCAGGCTGTCAGGCAGGATTTCCAGGGCTGAGTCCAAGAGAACACTCAGCTGGTTGCTGCTGAAATCCAGGGCTGTGAGGGCTTGCAGGGGCTTGTAGACCACAGGATCAAAGCTCAGTAACTTATTGTTGCTGATGTTTAGCTCTTTGAGTTCAGAGAGGGCATCAAACGTACTCTGGTCCACATGCACCAGTTTGCAACCTGAAATGTCCAAGGTGTAGAGGTGACTCAGGTTTTTGAAGTTGTTGGCCAATTTGTTGTTCTCAAAGGAGTTGCCTGCCATCTTCAGCACTCGCAAGGAATTCAGGCCACAGAATGTACACTGGGATTTAACATGAGTTCTGGTATGGGAAATGTCAAGGTAAATGAGTTTCTGAAGGGATAGAAAGACAGGGTAGGAGCCAGGACCAACTAACTTTGTGTGCTGAAAGTCCAAATACAACAAGTTCTTCACGTTAGTGAAATCTCCAGTCACGCTGATGTCCGCATTGAAGCTGAGGTTCAAGTGCTTCAAGTTGGGACAGTTGTGGAACTTAGGGGAACAGCAGAGAGTGAAGGAGAGGCGATTCTCACTCAAATCTAGGACCTCCAGGTTACGCAGGTCCTGAAATGTCTTCCGGAAGCTGTTGAGGTGTTTGCTCTTGATAATGCGAAGCACTCTCAGCTCCTTGAAAAGAGACAGCTTCGTGGCAGGCACTTCCCTAAATGTGCATTTCTTACACTCCAACTGCTTCACTTGAGACAACAGAGGAACCTTTGATATCTCCTCCAGCTGCAGGTCCACCAAGCGGATGCTGGAGACGTTGTGTAAGCAGTTAAAAAGAGTGTCTGTGTTATTCTTGAACCCCCTGAAAGAGATTAAGACAAACTCTTGCATTCGTACCTGGCACAGTCCACTCAGGAGCCCGCTCTGAAAGTCCACCAGTCTCTGTTTGTCACTGAATTCTCCTATTATTAGCCTATTGACCTGTAAACCAGTCAGGCCTTGAAGAGAAGAGTGCATCACATTGAAGTTCTCAAAAGAAGACCTTAAAACCAGCTCACTAAGGTGAATCTTCTCAAAGGATCCTGACTCTATGCATTTGATGTAATTCAAGGACAGCACCAGTGTGAGGTTGAGTTTGTTCACTTCCTTCAGGACATCAAGGTCTCCTCTGGAGATATATGTGATCTTGTTAGAGAAGAAGCTCAGGTGCCTGAGAGAGGTCAGGTTGGTGAAATACTTGGGAAGCTTCAATGAAGCAATGCTGTTGTGGCCCACATTCAGCTCCTGCAGGGTATGCAAGTGGCCAATGGGTAGGTCGTTCAGAGAAGTGATGTTATTTTCCACCAGCACTAGCTTTCTCAGGGATGTTAAGCCATAGAAGGCTGCTGGTCCCAGGTCCTGGAAGGGATTGCCAGTTAGAATTAAGGTGGAAAGTTTATGAAGACCCTTAAAGGAGTTATCTTCTATTGTCTGGAGGTGGCACCTGTGGGGCAGGAAAAGATAGTAAAAGTGCATGAAACACTGTCTCCTTCATGTTCACTAATGCTGCAGGTTTAAGTGCTGGTGCAATGTTCTCAAGCTCAGTCTCACCATAGGGTTGGCTTGGCTTTTCTGAATGTGCAAAGGGAATCTCTGAACACCAGGAGAGCCCCTTCACCTCCTCCTCCCTCTTGAAATCTGAACTTCAATTGCAAAGCAAGAGACTTCGAGCAGTGGTGAAGGTAAAAACTTCATGCAGGCAGCAGGAAAGAATAATTTATGCCAAAGGAACATTGTGATGAGCATCGCTGGTGGCAGAGCCAACCAGATAAAGCACTCCCTTACACTTTGTACCCTCACAGCCTTCAGATTGTTGACTCAGCCACATCTGGGCAGTTCCAGTGGCACCAGCATGATACAGCAGTGGCAAAGCTCACCACTCACACAGTATTGCAGTATGCTAGAGACTGGAAGGGACCTCGAAAGATCATCTAGTCCAATCCCCCTGCCGGAGCAGGAACACCTAGATAATGTTACACAGGAATGTGTCCAGGCGGGTTTTGAATGTCTCCAGGGAAGGAGACTCCACAACCTCCCTGGGCAGCCTGTTCCAGTGTTCTGTCACCCTCACTGAGAAGAGGTTTCTTCTCAAGTTTAAGTGGAACCTCTTGTGTTCCAGTTTGTACCCATTACCCCTTGTCCTATCATTGTTTGCCACTGAGTAGAGCCTGGCTCCATCCTCGTGACACTCCCCCTTTATATATTTATAGACACTTATAAGGTCACCCCTCAGTCTCCTCCAAACTATAGAGACCCAGCTCCCTCAGTCTTTCCTCAGAAGGGAGATACTCCACTCCCTTAATCATCTTCGTTGCCTGCGCTGGACTCTCTCCAGCAGCTCCCTGTCCTTCTTGAACTGAGGGGCCCAGAACTGGACACAATATTCCAGATGCGGTCTCACCAGGGCAGAGTAGAGGGGAAGGAGGACCTCTCTCGACCTACTAACCACCCCCCTTCTAATACACCCCAGGATGCCATTGGCCTTCTTGGCCACAAGGGCACAGTGTTGGCTCATGGTCATCCTGTCGTCCACTAGGACCCCCAGGTCCCTCTCCCCTACACTGCTCTCCAACAGGTCGTTTCCCAACCTATACTGGAACCTGGGGTTGTTCCTGCCCAGATGCAGGACTCTACACTTTCCCTTGTTATATTTCATCAAGTTATTCCCTGCCCAACTCTCCAGCCTGTCCAGGACTCCCTGGATGGCAGCACAGCCTTCTGGCGTGTCAGCCACTCCTCCCAGCTTAGTGTCATCAGCAAACTTGCTGATAGTACACTCAATTCCCTCATCTAAATCATTGATGAATATATTAAATAATACCGGTCCCAGTACTGACCCTTGAGGCACTCCACTAGTTACAGGCCTCCAACTAGACTCAGCCCCATAGACTACAACTCTCTGGCTTCTCTCCTTCAGCCAGTTCACAGTCCACCTCACTACCTGATCATCCAGACCACACTTCCTCAATTTAGCTGTGAGGATGCTGTGGGAGACTGTGTCAAATGCTTTGCTGAAGTCAATGTAGACCACATCCACCGCTCTGCCATCATCCATCCACCGTGTTATTTCCTCATAAAAGGCTAAGAGATTGGTCAAATATGACTTCCCCCTGGTGAAGCCATGTTGACTGCCCCTCATAACCCTCTTATCCTTGATATGCCTTAAGATGGCACCAAGGATAAGGTGTTCCATCACTTTCCCAGGGATGGAGGTGAGGCTGACCGGTCTATAGTTACCGGGGTCCTCCTTCTTGCCCTTTTTGAAGGCTGGAGTGACATTTGCTTTCCTCCAGTCCTCAGGCACCTCTCCCGTTTCCCAAGACTTGGTAAAGATGATGGAGAATGTCTAGCAATGACTTCCGCCAGTTCCCTCAGCACCCGCGGGTGCATCCCATCTGGACCCATGGATTTATGGATGTCCAGATTGCTCAACTGGTCTCTAACCCATTCCTCATCGACTAAGGCAAACCGCTCCATCGACCTGACTTCATCTAAGGTCTCAGGGGTACAGGGCTCTTCAGGACTGCCTGCAGCAGAGTAGAAAGAGACAAAGAAGGCATTCAGTAACTCTGCCATCTCTGTATCTTCTGTCACCAGGGCACCCATCCCGTTCATCAGTGGGTCTACATTGCCTCTGGTGTTAGTTTTATCTGCCATGTATTTGAAAAAGCTCTTTCTGCTGTCCTTGACCCTTCTCGCCAGGTTTAATTCTAAGGAGGCCTTAGTCATCCTAGCTGCCTTCCTACATCCTCTAGCAGCAGCCTTATATTCCTCCCAAGTGGCCAGCCCCTCCTTCCATGACCTGTAAACTCTCCTCTTCCACTTGAGCATACCCAGCAATTCCCTATTTAGCCACGCAGGTCTCCTGGCCTTCTTCCTTGACTTCCTACGTGTCGGGATGCTCTGATCTTGAGCTCGGAAAAAGCAATCCTTGAATGCCAACCAACTATCTTGGGCCCCTTTACATTCAAGCAGCCTTGCCCATGGGATTTCCCCTAGCAATTGCTTGAAAAGGCCAAAGTTTGCCCTGCTAAAGTCCAGGGTTGCAATTCTACTTGCTATTCTACTAGTCCTACCACACAAGATCCTGAACTCCACCATCTCGTGGTCGCTGCAACCAAGGCAGCCCTCAACCCTTACTGCTTTGACCAGACCCTCCTCGTTAGTGAGGATGAGTTCAAGCAGCGCTCCTCTCCTCGTTGGCTCATCCACCATTTGCAGGAGGAAGTTATCATCCATACACTGGAGGAACCTCCTGGACTGCGGCTGGGTTGCCGAGTGGTCCTTCCAGCAAACATCAGGGAAGTTAAAATCCCCCATGACGACCACGGCCTGTGACTGTGAGGCCGCTCTCAGCTGCCTGTAGAAGGCCTCGTCAACTTCCTCACCCTGATCTGGGGGTCTGTAACAGACACCCACAACAGTATCCCCCCTGCCAGCCTGACCCTTCATTCTCACCCACAGACTCTCAACTCGCTCGTCATCCGTCCCTGGACGGAACTCTGTGCATTGTAGTTGCTCCCGTACATAAAGAGCAACCCCACCACCCCTCCTGGCTGGCCTGTCTTTCCTGACGAGGACAGAGCCCTCCATGACTATATTCCAGTCATGTGAGCTGTGCCACCACGTCTCTGTAATTGCCACCAGATCACAGTCTCCTGACTTAACACAGGTTTCCAACTCCTCCTGCTTATTTCCCATGCATTGGTGTACAGACATTCCAGGGAGCGAGCTGAGCACACCGATTTCACCCGAGGATTATAGGAGGCCTCCCAGTCTTCATTAATTCTGGAGCGCTGCCCCACTGGGGCAAGCCCAGCTACAACCCCAACCCCCTTCGAATCTAGTTTAAAGCTCTCCAAATGAGCCCTGCTAATTCGTGCCCCAGCATCCTTTTGCCTCTGTGAGACAAACCTTTCTCACTTGTCATTGTCCAGACTGGTGCCCTATAAAACCAGCTGTTATCAAAGAATCCAAAGCCCTGCCTGTAGCACCAGTCTCGAAGCCAATTGTTCATGAACTGAATCTTCCCATTCCTTCCCACATCATCAGTGGAAGATGGAAGGAGTGAGGAGAAGATCACTTGAGCCCCAGACTCTTTCACCATCCACCCCAAGGCCCTGTAGTCTTTCTTCATCCCCCTCAGACTGCGGGAAGCAGCTTCCCCCCCACCTGTCTGGAAGACCATCAGCGGGTAGTAGTCTGTCGGGTGCACCAGGTTGGAGAGCGCCCTGGTGATATCCCTGATCCGGGCTCCAGGCAGACTACACACTTCCCTATGATGAGGGTCAACTCTGCATATCAGGCCCTCTGTTCCTCTCAGAAGGGAATCGCCTACTACAATGACCCTTCTTTCTTTCTTATCAGGGGCAGTCCTGAGGTGCAAAGTCAACTCCCTTTTCCTATGTGGCCTTGTGGGCTGGCCTTGCCCCGCATTCTCACCTACCTCTCCTTCAAGATCCAGGGCCTCGAACCTATTACGGAGGGACACCTGGGGAAGCAGGGCAGGAAGGGGGGAGGGTTTCCCACGACGTCGAACTGGAACTCGCTTCGTCTTTTTGGTCCCCTACCTCTGCGCAACAGCTACAGGGCAGGGGCTGCCTCGGGCCATCCCCCTCTGTGTGAGGGGGCAGGGGGTCCTTCCCCTTTCGGGGGGTATCTCCCTGGAACCGTTCCGACTGGCCCGCCAGGGAGTTACTCCACCAGTCGATCTCCCTTTCACACTCCCTGATGGTCCTCAGCGTCTCAACCTCCTCCTTAAGTCTTGCCACCAGGCTAAGCAGATCTTCTACCTGCTCACACCTCACGCAGGTGGAATGCTGTCCTCCCTCCCCCGGCAGCAGCAGGCTCCGGCACTCCCTGCACCCACAGACCTGAACAGCCACGGTTTGGGACGGGGTCTCCGAGTTGCTGCAGTCTTCTTACTGCAAGCTCTCTGTCTGGAGGCCACCATATTGGTCCGCAGTCGGACACCAACAACAGGGTCAGCAACACGACCTGCTTGTTCCTCCCTGCGCCCGGCGGACACCGACATCGCCGCCCTCCCAGCGGCTCTTTCAAGGCAAGGGCAGGGGAGTGGTCACCGTCACCGGGAACGCCCCCGCCACGTCAGCCGCTCTCTCGCAAGGGCTGCTGGGGCTTCGGGGGTCGGGAGATGTCGGGAGTCGCGGTATGTCGGGAGTCGCGATATGTCGGGGATCGCGATGTCTCTGCGCTATCCCCTCGGATTTTCCTATCTCCATTGACCCTCGCGGTCGCTGAAGCGTGCCGGCTGTGGCTCTAGCTGGGCTAGCTCCGATCAGCTGACTGAATCACTCTGTTTTGTTACCTGGAGGGAATAAACCCCAGGCCATGTTTCTAAATGAGATAAGTTGGGAAGAAGAGGGTGGCCACATGTTTTCACATGGGAAGATTCAGAATTTGAGACCCAAATCCATTCCACAAGGGATTGAAGCAAAATTAGCTTCATAATCCAGCCATTGCCTTACAGCAAGCTTAAGTTACAGCCACTTCAGAGCTGTAACTGTGATGGGACTGAGTGACACCTTTCAGTGAAACAATTTACCCAGAGAAACTGCAGTCACAAGTCAATGGAAATGATGCATCAATTCATATTTGCCAATAAGCCTTCTCCATCTGCTCTCACAAATATGTGAGGAGAAGGGAAAATAGCCTTCCACTGTCTGAAGGGGGTTACAAGCATATTGGAGAGGGACTCTTCATCAGGGACTGTAGTGATAGGACAAGGAGTGATGGGTTCAAACTGAAACAGGGGAAGTTCAGATTAGATCTAGGGAAGAAGTCCTTTACTGGGGGGATGATGAGGCACTGGCACAGGGTGCCCGGGGAAGTTGCAAATACTCCATCCCTGGCAGTGTTCAAGGCTAGATTGGACAGACACAGCTGTGCACAGAGGGTGTGCGCTCAGTGACTGGCCTCAAAAGCTGCACATCACTTGGCCATGGGGATATGCAAGAGGCAGGCACAGGGATAAAGTCACATGGAAAGAACAGCCAAGACCAACAGACCCCAAAATAAGCAACCACAGCAGCCCAGCTGAAGCAAGATAAACCACATAAAAGAACTCATTACCTTGTAAGATCCAGAAGCTCCAGTTCAGGGACTGACGCAAAATACTTTACCCTCAGTGATTTCAGGTTGCTGAAACTGAGATCCAGGTTCTGGGTGGTGTTTGGGACTTCAGAGGGGACTCCGGAGATGTTCAGTCCCATGCATCTGAAAGCTTTGGTAGGGATGACCTGTAACAGTGGCAGACCCAATCATGGTCAGCATCTGCTCTTCATGAAGTGCTAGCAAATGACGCTGTCAGGAAAGCAGGAGCAGAGTGACTAACCTTGTAGTTAACTTCCAAGTGAGCTGCCCTGAGCTTTATGATATGATCTTATATATCCTAAGCACCTTCCCCACTCCTAATAGAGCCAATCCTGCTCCCCAGGAAAAGCTACATTCCTTGATGACTGAAGCAAGTGCAAAACTACAGGATTGTGTTCCTTGAGGCTGCGAATGACCCAGCAGCAACCTTTGAGAGAGCCAGCAAAACAAACACACAAGGGTGCATTCAGGATCAGCTGTCAGCTTTGTTACACCGCAGATAAGAAAGCAGCACAAATCACAGCTATTCTGCAAGTAGCAATTATTGGCAAAAGCTTGCAAAAGGCAGTCGATCAGTGCCAGGTACTTGGGGTACTGGTGAAATCACTCTAGGGCAAAAAATCAGGCAAAAAAAATAGTGTATTTTGCAGAAATTACAGACAAGGCTTGAACCTCTTCCAAAGGAAACCTAATCTATTAGATTAACTGTACTGCAGTAACCTCAGAGGTACAGAAGGGCAACAAGAAGAAATGCTTCATGCCATTGGTTCTGTCTCTCAGGTGGTTTTGAGACCAGCATTTACCTCAAAGACTTCAATTGCCTTGGGGGCAACCTTGGAGAGAAGATGGGCTTGTGTCAGAGAACTAACACCCAACAGACTTGATGCACCGATTTCCCAAGCCGAGGGAGAAGTTGCACCAGAGAAACAGAAGGAGTTTGTGCTTATATAGAGATCACGTACCTCCAAACAGGGGCTGAGAAGGCAGCCCACCAGCTGCAGCAGCACCACCAGTGTCCACAGGGGAAGAGCTCTTCTCCTGGGCATCTTCAGGAGGCCAGGAGTGCAGGAGAAAGCAGCATGGGTATCACTGCAGGACCTGGAGAGGGGAGCCCTGAAGTGCCAAGCGTTGTGTTTCACCACTCCTGCTTCTCACTGCGCGTCACTGAGAGTTGCAGAGAAGCAGGAGGGAAGTGAAACTGGTACCCCCTGGCTTCTAGACACGTGCTGAGTGAACTGCTCTTCTTGCACTGGTTTAAAGACATGTTTAACTAAAACAACTGACAAACAACATGAAGGGAAAGAAATCATGAAAAGTATAATTTGGACTAGAAATGAAAGAGAAATAGGGGTTGTATCAGTGTCATTTGGTTGCCTCAGATTAGACTGGAAAAAACGAGGAAACTTCTGTGAGATTCTGAGTTCAATTTCAGCAAATCCATGCTTCACATAATTCAAATCACTGCACAGATCAATGCCTCTGTAACCCTGCCATGCTCCAAGCAGCACCACGCAGGCAAGCAGTGAAGTGCTCAGCTGTGGCAGAGGTTTTCCTGCGCCAGGTAGCAACAGGTTTATCTCCAGCTGAGCTCTTACGAACATAACATGTAGGGTTTATCCATCTGGTTGCATCTCAGTATTGCAGTCATCACAGGAACAAGGGGCACGTGGCCACGCACAAGGACTAAATACTGGAGGTTCATAGAGTGGTGAGAACCCAGGACCTTACAGCCCTCGTCACCCTTTCCATGGGTAGTGGGTTGCTGGGGGCAGCAGCTAGGAGAGGTACAAACACCCCGGCTGGGCTCAGAGCTGCTATCTGCCCTGGTCATACCTAAATCCATTTGATGCTTTGCTATAACAGTGGGTACATCTCAACACCATCCCTAATTTACAGCATAGACCCAGCTATTGTTTCTGGAAGAGGCTTTGTAAAACCTCACAGTTGGCAAAATTAATTTAAATCCTTCTAATAAAGCTCCTGCCTTCATTTACACTGATAAATGGTGGTGCATTCATGTATCTACTCCTGGCTTTCTGTAGATAACTAAGGAGCGTTATTGCATTCCAGCCATAGGGTTGCTGGGTATTATTAACACCACAGAGACAGAGAAGTTGCAAAAATGCAGGATGAGGATGGGATATTAGCCTGGAAGTAGGTGGAATAGGGCGAGACTGTTCATGGAAGTGTGTGAAAATCAGTATTGGCTATAAGATATTAATTAATTATTGGTAGATATAAGATAGAAATAGGAAGTCTAATTTCACTGATGGGGTTATGCAATGTAAATCAGTGTCTTATCTTTATTTTTGCAGCTGTAGAGATCGCAGTTAAGTGAAAGCATGGCTGCCCCATCCCTGGCAGTGTTCAAGGCCAGGTTGGACGGGGCTTGGAGCAACCTGCTCTAGTGGAAGGTGTCCCTGCCTGTGGCAGGGGGTTGGAACTGGATAATCTTAAGGTCCTTTCCAACACAAACCAGGCTGTGATTCTGTGATAAGCTGCAATATCAGTCCTGTAGCAAGGCACTGATAAAGAAAAGGTTAAACTATGGTAGGAGAAAGGGGGACAGATTGGATTTCTTTGGCAGGTCAGTAGAGTGTCACTGAGACATGGGGAAATCCTAACACAACAGATGATCTCTGCACTGAAAACTACGCGGCAGCACAACGGGAACCAAACCTGACACCCTGATGTACAACAGAGAGTGCCCATTCAGCAAGCAGAGCAAAAAAGTTTGTTGCAATTGGGCAAGTTCTCCGAACTCCCTGTTCTGAAAAGGCACTGGTAATTGCAGGTATTGCCTTTTCAGATGGAATCAGGAGTGAATGGAAACAATTGCTGACTGCTTCTGTGCCTGGATTAAGGAAATTGGCAGAGCATCATGTGTCTGCAGAGAGGACAAATGAGTGCATCTTTTAGTATTCAATATGCAGAATGAAGCAATCCACATTTAATTTGTATCTAAAGCTGAGATGAGCCTGAAGTATTCTCTAGAAATTACCATTTCAATGGGAGCTCACTGAAGATGCTGGAGAGTTTGGGAGCATCACAGAATCTGTCCAACAGGGGTCAAGTGGAAAGTGCAGCTTGAAGGACATTGAAAGAATGTGCTGCTTCCATCACAAGGAACAGTTTCACAATACACATCATCACTTTTTCAAGGACAAATCACACAGAAACTGCAAGGGATGGGGCACAAGCAGAAAACATGCAAGCTAGCAAATCAAACCCAGCTTAGAAACTCAATGCTGGTTAACTTCATATTCTTCAGCTTGCATACAACAATGTGCAATGCCTGCAGAAAGCCAAAATGTCTATGTAATTGCCTCTTTCGGTTCCCAAGAAGCAAAAGTATTATTTGGAATCCTTTAAAGTGACAAGAATAACATCCTAAATGAAACATGATTCACTGTGATGGGAATTTGCTGGTGGGATCATTAAAGATCTCTTAGAAAGGAGGTGTTAGAGAAAATATGTGTTTCTAAAAACACATGTTCAAGTTATCTTTGTCCTCCTGAACATGATTATAAGTAACATAATGGTAGACAGCATATACTAACCTCTATGATCTCAAGAAAGACATTACATAGTGTAAAAGGACCACAATGTAGGTGGACTGACAAAAACATCTTGTACTTGCTTATATTAAAAGAAAATAACTTGTGAAGTTGAGTCAAAAAGGAAAGTTAGCTAAGCTCTTGGACAAGACAACTGGTGATAGCCATAAGAACAGATAGGGCTGATGTATCTATGGTGGCTTCACTCCTAAGCCAGTACCACATGTAGATGAACAGCTGTTAGTCAGAAGATATATTTGACTCAGCAGTCATCCTAAGCAGTTCCCCAAATCTATCTGCAAACAGAGACCAAGGAACACAGCAAGAACTGTTTCAGGATTAAACAAACCAGGTCTTACTTTAAGTGGAAGAACCATCTATAACAACTATTTGGTTGTGAGCCATGGATCAGGTGGAAGAGAGCATTCCTGAGATGCTGGCATATGATGGGTTGGCTTGCGAAGATTTGGGAAGGGCTTTAACCACGCTTACTACAAGCACGATGACCAAGGCCATGTGGGATATGCAAACCTGGTTGGAAAAAAGGGTGCTTAGGCAATCAGAAAGTGTCCGACCAGGACTGTCATCTCCTGAGCGATCTCGAGCTACCCATGCACTGGTCTGCCCACATGCAAGGTTGGATCTGCAGCTTCCCATGCACCTTGTCACCTGCTGTTTCAACCCTCACCTGTCCATACAAAGAAGTGGGTGTAAGCCCTTCCAGCCTGCACAGTGGATTTTTTAGGTGAGGCCCCATCCTTTACACCTGAGGTTTAACCACCACGGCCTAGCTAGCTCGGATGGTGACAGCAAAGTCCGCAGGTCGTAGGTTTTGTAAGTGTCTTTCTCTTCAATGGAAGACCATACAAGGCTAGACGAGCTCCATCAGCCCGGGTCTGAAGACAGGAGTTTTCTTTCTCCTATGAGGAAGGCCTGTCTTTGCTAATGAAGATTGAGGAAGGTCTTTAACCCACACAATCTGAACAAGACTGTCATTACCTGGGTCAATCTTGAGCGACCGATGATGCAACAACACAACATCAAGCCTCTAAACAGGATTCTGACTTAGAGGTGCTCAGTCATAAGCCACAGATGGTAGCCTCGCACCAGTGGCTCCTCAGCCAAGCGCACGCACCACGGGTCTGAACCTGTGGTTCCTCTTGTACTGAGCAGGATTACTATTGCAACAACACATCATCAGTAGGGTAAAACTAACCTGTCTCACGACAGTCTAACACAACACAGTATATGGGGACCACCACAAGAACTTCCAGAAGTGCTTGAGAAGCTCAGGTGTGCATTCAGGCTACCCCAGCTGACCCAATACTGCTCTCAGATTTGCAGCACTGGCCATATATGCCTTCCTAACTAGCACACCATCAGCTAACCCAACTCAGCTTAGCAGTCACGTAAGTTGTGACTTAAATCAGGTCACATTGCAGCTGCGGTCTAGGCTCAGGGTGTGTAGACAGTTACTGAGTCCTTGAGGTTAAGCTGACAATTGCCAGTCCTTTTAGTCAGTCACTCACCTGCCCAAGCCTGAAAGGAAAAGCAAAAGGTAATGTCTCAAAACTTAAATAATACATTGAATTTTCCCAGCCATTCTGATGGGAAAAACAGTTTGTATCAATCACAAGGAAAAAAATGGGGGGGGGGGAATACAGCTTTGAGATCCTTTTGCTGCAAATTCCACAAATGCATCGCTGCTTCCTGGAATGGGTGAGTCACCACCTCACACAGCGACCGCAGGCTGACCTGGATAGAGACAGTGCTGAACCACAAGCACCCTGCACTACGCCTGGTGCACTCATCACGACAGGTCCCTAGCACAGTGCCTTGGTGCCTGTAACTCTCACTTGTGATGCTTCACTGTAGGAATTGGGTGTAATAATCTCACACTTGATGGAAGATCAGCCTGGAAGACCCACTGCCTCTGCTTGTACCTCTGAAGAAGAGAACCACATTCAGATTGAGAGGAGCTCTGCATTTAGTTTGGGGTGTTTAGACAGCTTTGCTGCTGTCTGCCTGAGCAGTGATTGACTCTAGTTACAGATCATTTAACTGCTAGTTTCAAAGCAAGGAGCATCAGTAATGCAGATTGCTTGTCATGCCTGTGACTGGAAGTGACAGGGAAGGACACAGAGGTGGAATCACAGACAGTTTCTACATGCCATATAGCAGAGACCAAGCCCCAAGCCCATTGCCAATGGTGCCACCTAAACCAGACAGAACCCAGCATAGCTATAGTGTTTCCCACTGCAGAAAAGGACAGATACTGGTGTACAAAGGGGAAAGAAAACCCCCAAAAGCTGACATCCAAGTTAGTTTGATGAAAAGCAGCCAAGCCTACGCTGAAGTAGGTAATGTGTGTCATCAGATGGGCTATTCCCCAAAGCCAAGGTCATATGAATACCCCAGAACTATTCAAAAGCTATTAGGGAAGAACTGTGTCAAGTAACCAGGGACAAATATACAACTAGAAGAAGTGATTAATCAGTGTCAAGACAGTCACTATCTGTGGCAGCTACTCCATATGGACTATGTCAGGTCAGTTAGGAGCCCTACATTCTACTGATCAATGTTTGATCTGAATGGTTGGAAGGATTTGACACAGATGGTGGAAGCATCCAGACTTGTTTGCCAAGCATCCACAGACAGGCAGAGAGTGACACTGGAACCCCCTTGACTCCTGGAGAGGGGCAGGCTAGCACCAGAAAGCCCAGCAGCTCCCTCCCCTTCTGCCTTGGATGAACCA